GCAGACCAGGCGGTGGGCAGAGCTGCGGGCGCCACCTGTGGGAGCCTGGCTGAGCAGAGTGGTGCTCAGGACATGGCGGACCGGAGGACGAGGGGACAGTCCTCAGGACACACCCTGGGCGTGAGGCCGCCCGCCAGCTTTCCCAGCCCGCACTCCGTCTGAGCCACTCTGCCCTCTGCACGTGAGAAGCCAGCCCGTGGCCCCAGAGACTCAGAGGCAACTCCCACGACCCTACAGCCCCAAGCCCCTGGGGCGAAGTGATGGCTCCCGACAGGCTACCGAGCCACCACCTGGGAACGCAGGGGTCTCGAAGGCTCTGAGAGAAACGAGACCCGCGTGTCTGAAGCACACAGCCTCACTCATCAGAAGACAGCTGAGCACGGTCATGCGTGGCGTGATGACAGAGGCGTGTTCTGGGAGCTGCCTCGTTCAGCCATCTGGCCGCATGGACATCACAGTGACTCACAGACCGAGCCACCGCCATCACACACGCACCCCTGTGCCTGCAGCCTCATCACACGGGGCGTGGCACTGCCGCTGCGACCCGGGCTGGGCCCCACTCACCTGTGCGTCCCGCTCTCCCATCACTGGCCTCGAGCCTGCCCTCCTGCAAGAACAGACAACGTTCACACGGCAGCCGGAGCTACCGCGAGGTGCCCACGCCAGCCTGCCCCGGGACAGCTGGGCCTCACTGCCTGGGAGGAAGCCAGACCCTGACGAGGCTGGCATGAAGCCTTCTCTGGGCTAACACCCCACAGAGAGGTCTCTGGGACAGAGATGTGCACCACGACATCCACGCCCAACGCACCCACAGCTCAGTGAGAATGCTGGGGTGGACGGGGACATGGGGCCCCGAAGGCCCCTGAGCTCTGGTCCGCCCCACAGCAGGTGCCACACCAGTGCCAGCCCTAACTCAGTGTCGGAGATAGCTCAGCCCATCCTCCTTGGCCCTCCTGCTCTGACCTCTGATCTGAAAGAGCTCACAAGCAATAGGGGGCCTACAGATATCAGCCGGGGTAGCAGGCTGCCCCACCCCAGAATGCTTCACCTGGAACAGAGAGGGCTGCCCCCTCAACAAGTCAGCTACAAGGGCCAGCAGGTGGTATGGTGGTTAAGGATGCTGGACTCCCACAAGTTTGGCCATGGTTCAAGTCCCGGACCTGGTAACTTGCTCTCTCACTTTCCCTTTCTCTTTCTCATACTCACTCTCGCTCTGTCCTTCTCTGGTCAAATTAAAAAAGTAAATAGCTATACAAATTAATTTATTTTTTTTCAAGAGGTTTTCGCTATAGGGCACAAATTAATTCTTAAAAGAAAGAACAACCCAGGGACAGTCTCAGCAAGGAAAGGCATCAGCAAGAGCAGGGCCCCGGGGTGAACCCGCCAGACCTCCGGGACACAGAGCAGGCTCCAGGGAAGCCGTGTCCTCAGGCCGGCCTCCTGGTCATTCACTGATGACGAGGCCTGTTTATGGGAACCCCAGGCGTGGTGTGCGCCCCAGAACCACTGCCGGTGGATCCAGGCACACCCCCACACCTGCTCCCCTCTGAGATAACAAGGCTGGCCAGGACCCTCCCCCACCCTTTCCCTCCCGGGCGCCACGAGAGCGAGTGGAGGAGAGCAGGGGGAGCGGCAGCCGCAGGGAGCCCGGCAACCCCAGAGAGCCGTGAAACCCGGAGCTCGGGCCACATCTGGGCAGAGGGCAGCAATGTCAGGCACTCAGACCTCAGGCGTCTCCCGCCGGCCAGTTCCGGCTGTGTGCTCGAGTTCCACGCAGCAGGCCAGACCCACCCTCGGTGCACTGAGGTATCGGTGCGACCTTGGACAGTGGAGGAGGGTCGCCCTGGACGCGCAAGGGTGCGGGCCCTGGCGGCCACCGTGCCCGGCGCGCCATGGCTGACCTGACGGGGCTGTGGTCCTGGTACTGGCCTCGGTCGCGGTGGTCGAAGTCGCGGAAGCGGTGGTCCGGCCGCGGGAAGTCAGCGCGGTACCTGTCCTCCATGGCCACCCTCTTTCCTCCCGGCCAATAGGCGTCCTCTCGCCTGTTGTTTTTTATTTTAAAAAGAATGCAAACTTCACTCATGAAAGAGAAGGAGAAAAAGGAGGGGGTGGAGGTGGGGAGGGGAGGTGTCCCCAGACCCAGGACCGTTTACAATGTCCTGCAGGGCCAGTCTCTGAACAGTCCGCCCTCATGGCTGTGGACTCCCGGGACCAGGCCTGCTGCGGTGACTGCACAGGGCTGCTACCACCACCCCGCGCTCCGAGCTCGCCACAGAGCTGAGTGCCACTTTCGCCCTCCCGTCTTCTACGGGAACACAGACCTCCCTCTGAGCTTTGTGCAGAAGCAAAGGGGACCTGCGGGTGACAGGAGCCGTGGATGGCACCGACGATCGCCTTCCTGACTGCCGCCAGGACACGGGGCCCTGGGGAGCAGGCTGAGGGCGACTGTGCTGCTCAGGAAGGCCGGAGCTTATTTTAATAAGCCCACTTCTACACCAGCTTCTCCGTCCCCGCCGGCCCGCCTCTCCATCCTCAAGGACACACCTGCAGTGGTGTATCCACACGGTGCACGCCGTTGGTCTATCCCCAGGACAGAAAGGCAGACTCGGACGACAGTCACGCCCCACCGCCAACCCTCTGGGGTGTCAGTGCGGGTGTGCAGAGGTGCCGGGCCTCCCGGAGCGGGCCAGCACTCACCGGTCGAGGTCGTAGGGCCGCCGCAGCGCGGGCCGCCGTTCCTGCTCGTAGCGCAGCTGCTCCTGCTGGCGCCGCAGCTCCTCGCGCTCGCGGTGGATGCGCTCCTGCTCCTTCCTGCGCTCGCGCTCCACGCGCATGCGCTCGCGCTCCAGCCGCTCCCCTTCCATGCGTTCCGGCTCCAGCCGCTGCCACTGGC